GATAAAAGGGAGGAGACGTCGAGCTGGTGGGTTTCGCAGGGAAGCGAGGTTAGGGCGGGACCGAGGGTTTGGTCTGTTGCTAGTACGGTGTAGCCCTGGATGAGGTTTGTTAGGCTGTTGAAGGGAGAGGGGGAATGGAGATGGGGGTTTTGCTGACTTCGTTGATGAGGATTTTGGCGAGGGCGTGGCCGATGCCGGAGTTTGCGCCTGTTATTAGGGCTGTTGGCATGGTGGTTGTGATGGCAATTTTGGTGTTAGTCTGGTTGAAACTCTAGTTTAGGGAGGATGGAAGGATCTAGTGAAATCGGATATTGTTCGCTATCTAGATTTCTACGTCGAGATGATGGACGTTGTTATACATGTAGAATATGGCCTATGACGTTGATGACGTCTATCTTACAACGCAGCGATCTTGTCGTTACTCCTGTATCTAGTGACCATGAGATGAGTGTGCTAGGTGCTTCATCCGTGACATGCAAGACCACAATACTTTCAAGACCAAGGAAAGTCGACGGATCTGTATTAAGTGGCTCGTGGTAGTCTCTATGGCAGCGCGATACCGAATCTAGCTAGTCCACACGTCGATATCAAGCTGCGGGGATCTTGCAATCTACCCAACAGCACACCGCAAAGAAACCACAACTCAATGCGCAAACCGAAAGTCCAACCGCCTATTCCCCTCATCCTCCGTAGTCTCCAAATACATCTCCTTCTCCTCCCTCGTCATACCCTCCCAAATCCTATCCCTCTTCCTATTAACCTTAACATAATACACCTTCGCCCCAACAAACAGCACAAAATTATACGCACAAACCGCAAGTAGAACCTTATTCCCCCTCCGATAAAGCGGCTTATCGTCGTCTCGATATATGTTCTGACTGATGATACTACTCGCCTGGACACACATATTGTACAGCGCACTCGCCACCGTGCGCGTGCGCACTGCGCCAGCGTTGCGCGATGTTATGGCGACGAGGATCGCGTGGATATACGGGTGTCCGACGAGGAGGGTTGAGAGGACCCATCGGGACCAGGGCGACGCGGTTGCAGGCAGGAGTTCCAGCGCGATGAGTAGGGGTAGGGCCCAGATTTGCGATATCAGGCCGACGAGGAAGCGTTGGTTGAAGCGCTCGGATATGTAGGTCCAGAAGAGGAGTTGTAGGATGAAGAGGACGTATGCGGGGATCTGGGGGGTGTTATGTTAGTCGTAGTAGGGAGATGGGAAGGGGGGTGCTTACGGTGAGGAGATTGGTTTCGAAGGTGCCGAAGCCGAGGGAGCGGAGTTGGAGCGTGAGATATGCTGTTGAGGGTGTGGTTGGTATTGTCCATGATAAACCGAGTAGGTAGATTGGCCACATGTGATAGTCCCTGAGACAGTCCCACAGCATGCGGAAGCTTAGACCTTGTCTGTTGTGCATGTCGCCTTTGCTAGGGTCATCCCTCAGTATGCGGTTAACCATAATCTTCTCTTCCCTCTCATTGAACCATCCGTCTTTTCCACGGAACGGATTCCACGCCTTACTCGCAGTCTGCGTCGGACTGGGTGGCAAGTAAAACCAAGATGCAATACCGATGCAGCCTGTCAACATGCCCTCGAGAGCGAACAACCAGCGCCACCCTTCCATACCGTTGTGTCCGCGCAGACGCAAGATGCCAAAGGCGAAGAAGGCAGAGACAATCTGAGTAGACTGGTAGCTCACCCAGAACCAACTCAACCGCCCCGGTAACTCCCACCCCGTGTAGAAGTAACTGAGGTAAAGAATATTATCCGGAATGAACCCACCCTCAATCAACCCCAACAGAGCGCGGCAAGCGAAAAACGAACTCCGGCCGCTTAGGAAAGCTTGAAAACTAGCCACAAGACTCCAGCTGACCATCTGAACAGGAATCCAATTGTCGGGACCGAGCTTCTTGCTGATGAGTTGCGAGGGTAGTTCAGCGCATAGGAAGCAGAGGTAGAAAATGGTCTGCCCGTAGTTGTAGTCGTTGGTGTTCATGCCGAGGTCGTCGAGCATGTTGTCGCTCAGGGCTTGCGATATGTTGCCTCGGTCGAGTTGGAGGGCGAAGAACATTAGGCAGGCCCAGGTGCAGATTCGCTTGTCGATCTGGGGTAGGTCAGCGTGGGCTTCGTTGATCCTTGAAGCATGATATTGCTTACCTTGCGCACGAGACGCTTTTCTTCTGGCTTGTCCCAGACAAAGTCCGGATCGTATCGATGGATGCCTTCGTAGGAATCGACGGGCCTGTTTCGGTCTTTTCCGATGTCTGACGAGATGAAGGTCGTGCCATATCTTGTTTTGGTACCGGATGTGTTGGCTGCCGTGTCGCTGTCGTTGTCGCTTTCCGCAGTGTCGAGTACCACTTTGCTATCGACGGGGTAGTCGTCAGCAGTATCATTGGCGACCATCTTGAAACTCGAGCTGCTCGTTGAGGTCAAGGAAGTACTCTCATATTGAGAATGCTACGAGGATGCACTCTCATTATATCTGTGGGCGCTCTCTCGCTCGTTGACCCACGCCATAACCATCCCATGCGCAGAGCTTCCGGACTTGCATCGTTCAGAGAAACAGTTTCGCAATTTTGCTAGCGTTGTAACGCACAATGACCGTTTATCCACCGACTGTCAATGCATCTTCGCCATCTTTGCGCCTCTCGGTTACACTTGGATTCTGATACTGGCCGCGGAACTGACAGCGGCAATCGTGCCGCCAAATCTAACGAGCACGCAAACAGTGGATGTGATTTCGCAGCGGGGTCGAGCGGTTCTGTGCAGCATATCTGGAGTTAATTCGTCGTTGTCTCTTTCGATGATGGATTGCGTGATTGGCTGGGGTGTTGGCGACATAGATATGGAACACCATATCCGCCACTACTGCAACGGTGCGTTCGGATATAAAACTGACGCCAGAGTCTTGGTATATTCGACATCGCGTGGGATGGTTCGGTTGCATGAAGCCTTGCACAACTCGTTGGTCTTTGCTGCTCGCGGTTAGTCTGGTGTAGGAAGAAAGTATGAAGCAATACAGTGCATGCTTGATGCAATATGATCGCAAGCTGATTGATCAGGGCATATCGCGGCAGTCAACCTCGCTGGATCGCCAAGTTAGGTTACATGAATGCGACATCCGATGATTGTGGCAACTTGGCGTTGAGTTCGTAAGAGCGGGGTTGCGCGTAGCCAATGTCGAGTCGCAATGAAGCATTGCTACTCACAATCATGATTCGATTCGTACATATAAGGCCGCTTCATATGTGATGTGATAGACTTCCAAATTGACGCTCCTCACCATCACCCCAAGCGATATCGTTGGATAGCAACATGGCTCCCGCACTCATCGAAGAGGTCACCGAACAGACTACTGTCGGCTACAAGTCTGGAGTTGGTCAGTACAAAGAAGCTGCCTTTGGTGGCCCGAAGGTCTTCCAGAAGGAAGTCGAGCTGCGTGGGACTGAGAAGCATGCACCTGCCAAGTATCCGCACTACCTCCCGACTTGGGACAATGAGAAGGGCAGAAAGTGAGTATCTCCATACCGTCAATGGTGCCGAAGACTAATCAGCGGCTCAGATACCCACCATGGGAGCCATTCGAGCACACTGAACACGGAAAAGATGCCGACCCTTCGTTCCCTAACCTCTTGGCGAACGCGACTGTCGCCGACATCACAGCAAACATTGGCGCCGAAGTCCATGGTGTCCAGCTAAGCAAGCTGACTGATGCCGGAAAAGACGAACTCGCACTGTTCGTCGCCCAGAAAAAGGTCGTAGCGTTCCGCGATCAGGACTTCGCAGACATCCCAATCAAAGACGCACTCGCTTTCGGTGGATACTTCGGTCGACACCATATCCATCCTACATCAGGTGCTCCTGAGGGCTATCCTGAGGTTCATCTCGTCCATCGAGGTACTGACGACACCACGGCGCGAGACTTCTTTGAAGAGCGGACGAACTCGATTACCTGGCATTCAGATGTGACATATGAAAAGCAGCCACCTGGTACTACATTCCTGTATGTCCTTGATGGGCCAGCCGCGGGGGGTGATACTTTGTTCGCGAACCAAGCGGTAGCGTATAACAGACTCTCGCCAGAGTTCAGGAAGCGACTGCACGGCTTGAAAGTCGTTCACTCAGGTAAGCCTCGACGCCACACGACGCGCCGCGAAAGATACTAACACCAACTCAGCCGTCGAGCAAGCCGACAACAGCAAGAACCGCGGCGGCATCGTGCGTCGCGACCCAGTAACCTCAATCCACCCGCTCGTGCGGACACATCCTGCGACAGGCGAGAAAGCGCTCTTCGTGAACCCGCAATTTAGCCGACGCATCGTGGGCTTCAAGAAAGAGGAGTCGGATTTCTTACTCAACTTCCTGTACGATCATATCGCGAAAGGACAGGACTTCCAGGCACGCGTCAAGTGGGCGCCGGGTACGGTTGTGGTTTGGGATAATCGCGTTACGGCACACAGTGCGCTGCTTGACTGGGATGATGGCGCGCGCAGGCATTTGGCGAGGATTACGCCGCAGGCTGAGGCTCCGTTTGAGACGGATGTTGAGGAGAGGAAGGCGGCTGGCTTTGAGTATTAGTAGTGTTAGTATGCGATGATATATGAAATTGTTATTGCCCTCGAGAGTTGACATGTTGACAAAGGGCGAGGTTGGGAAAGGAAGGAGACACGCCAGATCGCGTACGTCATAGCTGGCGCGGAGGAAAGCCCGCGAACATGTACTTGCCCAGAACACCCCTATCAACGGAAACCCTCGACCCGTACCTCTACAGAGTACAACCAAAATTAACTTATGAAGCCTACATCATCTTTGTTTGTCATCAAGATATATTTGGAAACTAATGTAGGCTGCATTGCACATTGGAATAGATAATGAGATCGTGTAACAAAGCCATAAATGAGAAAGATGCTGGCTCCGCATGACGCCGAAGCTTTCGCGCATCCACAGCGCCGGTACGCCTTTTCCGATATCCACACACCAAAACCAGTACCCCAAATCAAAGTTCTGACTCTTCCGCTTCACGTCCCAGGCTTCTCATGAGTAAACCTTCCTGGCATAGGAAACCAACGTCTGCCCTAACCACCATGCTGTTCTCAGGATCCATGTCTTCATCCGCGCTAGCCTTCGGCTCAAGATCCAGTGTCTCGGCCATCAGGCTACTGTCGTTGTCGAACTTTTGTGTGAGCCTGACTTGGCAGCCGATACAGAGCTTCAATCCGCATCCCTCGATCTCTTGGTCGAATAGTGATGTCTGGTGTGTGCAGCAGGTAAATGTGGCAGGGGTGAAGCACATCGAACACCAGCGCTGGAGCTGTTGCTGACAGCCTGCTGGTGTCTCAGCAGACTCTAGGAGATCGGCGGCTGTCTGGTCGAAATCTGGGGTCATGCCGTTGGGGAAAATGTGCTGAATTTCGTGTCCTTCGCAAGCCACAATCTGCACTCTGCCTGGTGGAGCTGTTAGTGGGAAATTGATCGTGAAGTACAAAACACTTTTGGAGTGATCAAAAGATGCAGCTTACCCATCGTGCAGTCTTGGCACATAGTCGTACCGCCGCTGCTGTTCTCCGCATGTCCTCCACCAACCTCGGTGTATCCCATCCCGTTATGCCATTCGATGACATGGACTTCTTTCTCGAACAGCCCAGTGAACCCAAAGTTGGGTATGTCGCAGAAATTGCAGTCACTAGTATTTTTCTGCCCACCGAACTGAATGGGGTGCGCGAAGCAGGTGTTGATCTTCGTCAGCTTACCCTTGTGGCCAGCCTCGTCTTCCATCTCGAGCTCGGGGGTTGGAGAGCATGAGAACATCGGTACGTCCTCTCCGTACAAATCCTCAAGATCCTCCTTCGTAAAATAGTCGTGGTCAGGTACAGCGACTTCAGGTGCGTCTCCCTCAGTCGGTCCCAACACCCTTTTCTTCTTCTCTTTGACGACTTTCGGGATGTCTTGGAAGGTGCAGCCGATATGGTTCTTCTTGCAGCGTTTGCATGGGGGCTTATCGGTCTTCTTCTTCAGGCTGCAGCGCTTCTTCTCCAGGCGGCAATGCGTGCATTGTATGTGAGGCCGATTTGGGGTATAGATAATTTCATCGATGCGGATCCGCTCAGCACGGTACTCCACCGGCGGAAGCGCTTCGCATATGTACTCGTTATCGGCGCAATGGTCGCAGATAGCTTGGCGGGGCTCGTCTTCAAAAGAACAGCGCTCGTTGCGGTCCTCGACACATTGCTTGCAGCGGCCTTTCTCGGTAGGTGAGATGATTGGTTCACACTCCTGTGCCAAATTGAAGCATTGATCGCAAGGGTATGTACCGCCTGCTACTAAAGAGCAATACGTCTCGTTGTTGCGACAAGATGTGCAGCCTCGCGCTACTGGATGGCCTGTCAGGTCATCGACCTCGGCGCGGGGATCTTCGATCGGATGCTGTATGGTACGATCGGGAGTCTTTCTGCGGAAGAAGTCTCGATACTCTTGCAGTTCCCGCTCAGCTTCAGAATCAACGTCGGACCATTCAGCCGGCCAGTTGTCCTCCTCGTTGGTGACGTTCCTTACGTTGCCAAAGTTTTCGAAGCGCAGTCTGACAATGCACTTCATGACATTCTCCTGAGGTGCGCGCTGCTTCCCCTTCTTGAAACGATGGGCGGCTTTGGCGGCTTTGGCAGCCTTCGCCTGCTTCAGTTTCAGTGCCTTGTTCTGTGTCTCTTGCGCGGGATCAAAGTTGCCCGAAGCATCCTGATCGACATAAGTGTAGGTCTTCTTTCGGTCGATGCCTTGTCGCAATCCATAGGCCGGCTGGTAAAGTAAGTACTTGACTGTGACAGTGGTTATAGAATGAACAGTCTCACCTGTGTATCTGGGGGAATGACGATCTCGCCGTCAGATGGCGCTGGAGATCCTCTTGAAGACATGCCTTCTCTGACGGAGTCTCCGGGTTGCTCAAAGCCAAGGTTGAATTGTTGATCGATCGGACTGACTTCTCTCTCTTGTTGGTCGAGATTGAGACTAGACATGCGGTTGCCGATGCTTTGTCTGGGCATCTCCGTCTCGGGTAAGTCTAGTTCCTCATCTAGGAGGGGATCGTCAGGCTGTTCTTCGAAAAGATCGTCGAAATGGTCTTCTTCGACCTCCTCCGCCAAGCCCCCGAAAAGTGACTGGCGCGGTTTCTTGCTCCTAGGACTGGGTTCATCGTCGCCATCGTCGGTTCTCGGCGATTTCTTACTTTTGGGCGAAGATCTCCGAGCTTGATGAGCAGTCCACGAGCGGTCGAATGCTTTGGGAGCATCCTCGTCGTCGGAAAACCCCTCCTCGAGGGTATTGTAGTTCATGTCGTGTTGGGCTGAATTCTGGCCATGCCTTGCGTCTTTGCTGTGAAAATCGCCGCTATCTTCGTCATGTATATCAACATCAGGATCTTGCGGCATCCCATCATCTGCGTGGTGGTCGTTGATGCTCTGGTCATCACCCTTCGCGTTCTCTTCGACGTCCATTCCATGGGGAAGATTGAAATCAAACTCGACGTCAGGCTTGGGAGGCAGGTTGCCGTCTTTGGTAGTGCTCATGGCTGCGACTGAGTAGGTCGGCGGGTAATGCTCATCTGGTGTTGCTAATGGAAGATGTCATTGAAGAAGAGTAGCTCGCAAAAGGTTGAGAGATGATGTCCTGGTGAGTGGCTCCAAGTGCCGGCTTAGCGTTGCTTGATGCCGACGTGGCGGGTCCGAGAGCCCCAGGTGAGAGTAAGCCCTGAGCGCCACTCTCTCGCAACTGAGAAATTGTCAACGTTCAAGGCTCAGAACAGTATGCAAATAGCAATCGTTATTTCCAGAGGCAGTAAGTTGAGCGGCCGAGAAGCTGCAATTGTGCAAGATTAGAGGCCGAAGTAACTGAGAATCGCTATGCTTTGAAGATCAGTGGGAATGAGAGGCAGGAATCAGACAAAGGAAAGGGCCTAAGAGATTCCTGCGAAATGAGAAGCGCTACTGATAAGGTGTCCGTCGATCCTTTGGAGGTCGAGCAAGTCCAATTGATCAAAGGGAACGGCGCAGAGTAAGATTTACTATGATTTATGATACACAACGAACCGATATATGCATATGGCGCGAAGAAAGTGATGAATGCACATGCGAAAGGATGGCGGATGGGTTTTGGTAATCCATCGGCAGGCGATTCCGCTGTAATGCAAACGGGAAAGCAGGCGGTGTCGGGTCGAGTCGAAAAGATCGGTTCTGAAGAGACCCCCAGAGCTAAACCGATGCGATAAAAGATGACTGCTGACATTCGTGTCGTGGCAGACAAATCGTTCTGGGTGTCTAGACCAGTCGGAATCATGGAAGCCTAGAGCGCATCTCTGTTAATACTAAGATTCTGATCTTGGTTCTATGCCGCGTCGGCACCGACAGCTTTTATCAGGTATTGGTCTAATACATGAATCTGCATTTTACGTCCCGACACTGAACTGATCTTGCGGGTGGCCGAGGGATGCTGTTGCTAAGGATCGTTTGTACACGACGTGAGTAACGTCACGATGCTTGGTGCGTCGGAACAAAACACGGGTCGAAATCAGCAACACTCCGAGAGAGTAAGAAAGCGGTGTAGTCTCCGGGGTATGGAGTGTTTGACAATGAGAAGACACTTGGGGACTCAGGGACGGTTAGTCATCATAACGCTAACACGGACCATCCCTTCCAAAATGACGCGCGCAATTTCTTAGAGCTCTGCCATTCTCTACCCGCCTCACCCATCCATGAAGCTCGACGGCGCTTCATACCGCCCTATGTGGGCACCATGGCGCGATCGATGAGGCTGTTTCTGATCCGGCATGGGGAAACGGTCGACAATGTCGCCCAGCTCTAGTAAGCTTTCCATATGTCGTCATCGGCGTTCATTGCTAATCATTACAGTGCCGGTAGCAGAGATTCCGCGCTCACCAACCACGGCTACCAACAGGCCACCCGCCTTGGTCAGCACTTCAAGTCCCAGGGGTTGACGTTCACCCATCTATTCTCGTCGCACCTCCAGCGGGCTGTGAAAACAGCTGGCAAGATCCGAGAGGCTCAATTGACGCCCGCAAGCGACGACAACACTGTGAAAGTGGTTCCGGATGTCGTGCAGCTACGGGCGTTGATGGAGCAGGACTTCGGATCGAAGGAAGGAAAGAAGTTCCACGATCGACTTGACAACAAGGATACACCAGGCTTTGTGGAAGTGGAGTCGAAAGAGATCATGGCGCACAGAGCGGACTCATTCCTCGATGAGCATCTCTTGCCGCTCCTCGGCGAAGCGTCGAAAGACGCTGACACTGTGGTTGCGATAGTCTCGCATGGCATTTTCCTCTCCACTCTTTGGAAGCGACTGCTTTTGCGCCTTCCGCACAAGAGTGTTGCGCTCTCTCCAGAGCTCCAAGCAACGGCGCGACCGTCGCTCGAGCATCTTGGTGGCTGGTCTAACACTGGCTACCTCGAGCTGTGTATGACGAAGACAGACCCTGATGACAACGGCACCTCTGCCGGTGTGCATGTGGTGCCTACTCCAGAACCTTCTTCGTCACCCGCTGAGATGCCGGCCACGGATCAAGGTCTGGGCGAGGTCAAAGTACCACAAGCGGCGACTGAACATAGCCCTGCATGCCAGCAGGAGTCAGAAGCACCCACCCGGGTACCTGGTCACTCCTCACCGGCTATCGCACCGCGACTCGCTGAAGGGTGGTGCGCAACCATCCTTGCGATCAACGGCAAGGACCACCTCCGCAGCCTCAAGCGCACCGGAGGTGGTGTCGGAAGCTCTCGTCACGATGCATCGCAGAAAAGTATCGAGACTTTCTTCAAGCGTCGCAAAGTTGAATGATGTTGTCAATGGTAAGTTTACACTTTTTCTTCTCTCTCATGCAATGATGAAAAAACCTTTTAATCACAGACCTGATCGGAATTTAATGTCGACCAAAAATTGTACCAACTGCTGTCTGATTTGCATCGAACACTCCCATTCTCGAACCGCCTTTTCTTGAGAGCTCCGCTAACGAGAGAGGCTACAGATCTTACGTGGTGTGCATCCCAGCATTTGCGCGCTGCATACTAGACTTGAATCAATAAACATCATTCCACTGCACATGTTCCTTCGTTTGTGACTCTATTCCGCAACATCGTCGACGTCACACTTCATTTCACGTCCAAGGTCTCGCTGAACTTGAAGTTTAGGCAGGGCTGTCAACGATTTGTCGCTTTCCGCCCTTTGCGCTGGCGGTGAGATTGCGATAACCTGTGTTGTCGCGTAGTGGTCAGTGCCACGGCGATTTGCAGCTTCTGCTGTCAGTAGCCAGCGCGACAAGCCATCGTGACACCAAAGTAGCGCGTTGTACCAAGTTTTTGACGTGGTGAAGGTCCGTGCGTGACGCGCCTTCCTTGCCAACTCTCACTGTCGCCTCATTCACCGCAACATCGCATCATCTCGACTGCCATGGCATGCATCTAAATCGACAAGCCGGAAAGTTTCAGATAGCTGCCGCTGGCACGGTGCATAGGTTGTGCATGCGCTGCGCTACACCGAACGTTGGTGTGCGACAAACATGCTTCTTCGTAGGATCGCCCGGTGGCTGGCATGACCGGCCACCCTGGTTTTTGGCAACGGTCAATATCAGCCCCCCAATATTAATACATATGATCAGAGGGCTGGTTCTTCGGAGTAGTTCTTTCAACGCTCTGTGTCTCTGTCAATCCGCACTCTTTTTATCCCTTTCGTCGGATCTTCTTGAGATCTGTGTCTGGCCAATAGCAGCACGTCGTTCCTTGCGCAATCACAGTCCCACATTCGTTCATCATGGGAATAATTTCAACAGTAATGGTGCTGAGTGCGCTTTCGGTGGGTGTAATTGGTGATGTAGTGTCAAAGCCCTACGAGATGAATAGTAGTAAGTACAGGGAGCGGTTGTTCGGGTGTTTGCGATTTACTAACCTTGATAGCTACCACCGTTGGAGCACTACGACCGCACGTACATGCCACTGGACTACCAGTACCGCCATACAGTTTGTCAACATTAATACCAGAGCCCAGCTCAGTCGTCGTCGTCTCATACCCGATTCCATCACCATCAAATACAACCCTTGCCGCCGCTCCTCCCTCGTTATCAACTACGTACGCGGTGTCCAGTCCCTCATCAGAAGCAACACAAGTGGCACTCCCAATATCAAGTTCGTTCAATGTCACTACTCAGAACTCAACATACATATACACATCGTTATCGGGCTCAGCAACCGTCGTCTCCCCGGCTTCGGTTCCTACTCCAGGCTATGTGCCTATAGTAGTTGAAGTTGTCTGTGAGACAGTATACTACTCAGCATCGCCAAGCTCTTCAGTTGCTTCGACTGTGGTAACCCCCAGCGCTACTCCCGCGTCAGGTTTTGCCAGCATCCATCCTGGTCTGGCAATAGCTGTAGTTGGTCAAGCTGATGAGCCGGCTGCTTCTGCTTCCATCAACCTCCCGCTCTTGTCGTCGATCTTAATACCCGATGTCAACCACCAAACTATCTTCACTACGACTACCACCACGACTACCACCGTCATTCTGACACTACCCACTCCGCTACTTCCGACCTCTTCAAACGCCGAACCTACTGCGTCGGCGATAACGACAACGACTGTGGTTACACTCACGTCTGCTTCCGCATCGGCATCAGCAGATCTGCCCATTTCGACATCAACAAGCGACTCGGAAGAAACATCATCGCCAACCGACTCCGCATCGACCATCCTCTCCACCGTCACCGTCACATCCTCAACACCATCACTACCCTCCAACACCAACACCGCCTTCCCCACCGCCCCACCCTTCTCCTACAACCCCTCCGCCTCCCGTGGCTCCGCCTCCCCCATCTCGCGACCCACCCCCGAACCTTCCAGCGCCCTCGTCGCCGGCTCGACGCTCAGCACCGCGACCACGCCTAGCTCAACCTCAACACGCATCTCGCAATACACCGGTGAACCACCTGCACCCCCGGCTGCCACCGGAGGTGCGAGTGGTATGCTGAATGACAGGAGTAAGGAAAGGGTTTGGTGGGTGGCTTTCTTTGTGCCTTTGTTGCTTTTGGCGTAAAGTGTGACGAATGTGAGAGAAGTGTAAGGAAGAGAGGACGGTTACGATTCTTATGTGTTTATTATGATGAAATTATTTAATGTTTGTATGAGTAATTAAGGGAGATCTGAGATGGGATGGCATTGGAAAGAGGAGGATATACCAGGTTTTGTGGCGCATCTATGGCGTTTATACTAGAGTCAGGGTCTTGGGTTTGATGTCAGACGGGCAATTGTCTATGGGGTATGCTACAATGAGTTCTGATGGGCTTTAGATGTTGAAAGAGTATTATATAATGTCAAATGAAGATTTCATTCAAGCAAACTTGCCATGGAACGCGTTCAAGACCAGCGACGTCATCGAATTTACAATTAGCTGCAACAGCGCTGCAAAGCCTACGGATCTAGTCCCTAGTTTCCGGAGGAACAAGATCACTACATCAAACTATGTCCAAAAAGTTCAACGACTGAGATGATCCGGGGTTGAAGTGCGGAGAGC